GATATTTAATTTAATATCTAGCGAAAACGAAAAATAATTAATTAATATGGCGAAAAAGATAAAATAATTAATTAATTATTTGATAGTCGAATAATGTTGATAGTCGAGGCACTGAGTATCCAAAAAAATAGTAGGTTGCCAATGACACCGAAAAAGGTGTATACCCCACAATTATAGGGTAGCGCGTCACTAGGCGTTCCGGTAAAATAAAATGTGCCAAACTAATGCTTATACATATATAGCAGCGGACAACGGTTGGAGCGAAAACGAGAATTTTGCCGCTGCATATATTTGTATGTATATTTGTACATATATTTGTATATAAATAAATGTTTGGCTGCACTAAATTTAACTATTTTGTTTGGCGAAAAACGAACGAGGGGTAAAAAGGGGGTGGGGCGAAAGTGATGTGGATATATATTTATGTTTTTTGTCAATTTTAGCCACAGGCAGATTGTTAATAATTTTAACTAAACTATTCAAAATTTTTAGCTCTACTAATTTCAAGTACGTATGCGCCAAAAATTGAAAGGAGGGTGCAATATTCCAGCACAAGACGAAGATTTAATTTGACTATTCTCAACTTTCAATTTTTTGCACAAATACCTGCGGTTCTGCCTTGGGATCCTTTAATCCCGCTGCCACTTTCCTTGTGCAGTCAATGCAGGTGCACGGCATGGAGGAAGATGATTTCCTGGTGGCGATAATTTTGTTTTTTTTTTATTATGCACTTCACGGACGCGTCGCGAGCAGCTCTTTGACTTTTAATTTGTGTATAATAAATAACACAGTGTCACTGTCACTTTTATGTTTGTTTATTATACCCTTGCAGAGGGTATTATAATTTTGTCCAAATGTGTGCAACGCAGTGAAGGAGACATCTCCGGCCCTATAAAGTATATATATTCTTGATCAGGATCACCTCCTGAGTTGATATGAGCATGTCCGTCTGTCCGTCTGTCTGTCCGTCTGTCTGTTGATTGACGAGACAAGCCGCTATCGCCGCAAGCACGTTAGACCCTGCTGGTCCGGGATCCGCGGTGCTGGTGGGGCGAAAATTCGAGCGGCCCGCCTGTCAACAGGTGCCCGGGAGTAAGCGCCTCGCCGTCGCTTGGGTCCTGACTCAAAGCCCCCCGGGGTCGTGAGTTCAGGACGGCCTCGACTCAAACGGGGACGCTCTGCAGCTCCTCCGCGGTCAGCCTGGCGTTCCCTACCGCTCGTAGGAGTAGGTGTTTTGCAGACTTCACACCTGCCTCCCTTAGTCCGCCCATGTGCGGAGCCCGCGGCGGTATGAACGGTAATACGCATCCGTTTTTTGATGCGTATTGCGTGACCGCGTCAACCTCGTCCTCGATTCTTCGACGAAGGTCTGCGAAGTGGCGACTCGCTCCGACGAAGTTCGTCGCGTTGTCGCAGTGCACGATCTGCGGACATCCTCGGCGCCCAACGAACCTTTGAAAAGCCAACAAAAAGGAATCAGTTGAAAGGTCGGAAACTACTTCTAAATGAACTACATTGGATGAAAAACAAACAAATAAGCAATGAAGGACTTATAGGGGGGCCTGCCACGAATTTTCAATGTCGTATCAATAGGGCCACAAAAATCAACACCACATATGGAGAATGGGCGGAGAACACGAATTCTGTCTAAGGGTAAATCACCCATAATTTCAGTCATCAGACGAGGCTTGCATTTAAAGAAGCGTATGCATGACCGTACTGTCTTACTGCAGACTTCCTGCGCATTTACGATCCTTATGTCGCAAAAGACTCACAAGTGCTCGTGGACCCACATGAAAATTCGACTCGTGCAAGTATCGGACGTAGCTCAAAACAAATTCAGAGCTAACATTAACACTTACCTATCAGAATACTAAGGGGCTACGTAGAAAACTCCCCAAGCTATATTCTGATAGTTTTTTCTTTGCATCCCATATTAAAGCGTTTACAGAAACTTGGTAAAGGCCGGAGATCTTTAGCTCCGAAGTTTTTCCAAGTAAGTACACCACTTTTGGACGGGATCGAGGGGGGGTGGAGTCCTCATTTCGGTAGACTCTACTCTTGCTTCTGAAGAGGTGAAATCCCAAGAGTTTGTTGACATAGGTGGCATCGACGTTTGGTCCAACGTCGATAACTCACCATCTTTGTCACTTATCACTCACCATGACTTCACCGCGGGCATGTTTAACATGGCCCTAGGTCAAATTAACCATGTTTGAAATTCGTTAGGTCGGCTTTTAGACTTCTGTTTTGTATCTGATTCCGATGGTACCGCTTTCTTCAGAGCTTTCCCCCTTTCAACCCTAGAGGATCCATATAACCCCACGCTGGAGGTCTCAATCGAAACCATCCCTGGTCCGATGATTGGTCCGATATTCTGGCATGCACCGATCTTAATGTCACCTTAGAATAATGTCACCTTAGAAAAATTTTACTGTTCTTTAAATACATTTTTTGACTCCAGTGTGCCATGGAAATATCCGTCCGCTACAACAAATCCTCCTTGTTTTACAAGGTGCCTCACTAACCTAAAAATATAAAAAATAGACGCTTATTTAAATATAAAAAACCTGCAGTAGTATTGATTTCTCAAGATATCTACTAGCTCGGTCAAATTTTACCGTGCATAACGCTGAATGTTACAGGAATTATATTCGTCGCTGCCGGATATAATTTACTCAGGATCCGAAGCTGTTTTGTGCCAGGGCTCTGTACAAACCTCTTGTAAGACTTTTTAACTTATCTTTGGAAACCTCGACTTTCCCTTTCGTGGAAGGAATCTGTCATAATTCCCCTACATAAAAAAAGGAAAAGTCCGATGCCGCCAATTACAGAGGCATCTGTAAATTGTCGGCAATTCCAAAGTTATTTGAAAAATTAGTTACTCATCATTTGAAACACCTTTGCTCTTCGTTCATCTCTTTTTTTCAGCATGGCTTTATTAAGCGTCGCTCCACCACCACGAACTTATTGGAGTTGACATCCTTTGTCATAGATGGCTTTCGCAAGGGATATCAAACCGATGTAATTTACACAGACTTCAGCAAAGCATTTGATTCAGTAAATCACTCACTCATGTTGAGTAAACTGAATATGCTGGGATTTTCCTAAAGACCTCTTAACGTGGATCTCCAGCTACTTAGATGGAAGGATACAAAGAGTCTTATTTAGAAACACACATTCCCGTCTGGTCCGTGCTACATCTGGCGTCCCTCAAGGAAGTCATCTTGGCCCGTTGTTATTTACTCTTTTTATAAATGACTCGCCCCCTGCTTTAACGAACTCTCTAGTTCTTATGTATGCAGATAATGTAAAGCTTTGTCTTCAGTACAAATCCATCTCTGCCCAATGCAATCTTCAGTCCGATCTTGAAAACTTTCAAAATTGGTGTTTAGCAAATGATTTAATACCTAATGGATCAAAATGCAAGTTTATGTCTTTTCGCATATGCTTATGTCTATCGTTGTTGCCCGCTGCAGGCTACGTATTGGGATTGCCTTAGAGAAATTAACTCAGGTTAATGTTCTCGGCGTCCCGTTAGACTCTAAACTTAAATTTGCCGACCATATTTCGACAATGGTTAATAAAGCTAAAGGTTTCCTTGGTTTCATTAAAAGGTGGTAAAAATAATTTAACGACCTTTACATTACTAAAAGTTTATTCATTTTTGGTGCGTCCGATAGTGGAGTACGGTTCATGTGTCTAAAGTCTTATGGAGTACATCAAGACCGCATTGAATCCGTACAAAAGAAATTTCTTAACATTTGCACTTAGAGGTCTTAACTTGGATGCAAATCTTAATATTCCTTCTTACAGTAACAGACTCTTACTAATAAACTTACTAACCTTAACTAATCGTAGGACAAAGCTGGGTGTAGTTTTCCTACGTTACCTCATCAATGGTGATGTAGCTAGCCAGCATTTACTAACACGCTTAAATTTCATTATTCCTAATAGACAGACTTGAAACTTTAGTCTTCTATTCCTTAGCCATTTTAGTTCGACAAATGTACAATGTACAAATAACTTTTGACCGTTTCTCTTTTTGAGCTCTCTCCATTTTACACAACAACTGTTTCACAACTTCACACGCTGAATTCACGATAGCAATAAAAATATTTTATTTGCAAAACAGACGCTTAAACAATATAATGTATACCAATACATACGCAACAGACGTTTTGCTTCGCTGAACACGACAATACGGTCTTAGAACAACTAGAACAAAACAAAATAGAAAAAAACGGTTTCGTTGTGAGCGGGAGCGAACTCATTTAGGAACTTATAAATCGGTTTCTTTTTGAGTCTTTTCGTAAAAAATCAGGAAAAGACACTTATTCACAGACAACGAGAAACAGTCAACAGTTATTTGCGAGCTCTGGTTTTGGGGGATTCGGGATTTTCACAATTGGGTGTGGCAAAATTTGGACACAAGCTTGATCTGTGCGGATACCATACGAGTTCAAATTCCAAATCGGATAGCTTTATCACTTATAGTCTTCGAGATCCACGCGTTAATAATTTTACCCCGTTTGTATGGGAAAATGTTGGTATATGAATATATCGGATCTAAAAATAGGATCCAGGATCATCCTATCATCACCATTAATGTCCTGCACCCGCATCGATTGCAAACGACCTACTACTTTTGAAGATAGACACTTGGGACTTTGTTTAAATTTTATATTCTAAGAAATCGGGTTTCTAATGAAATTTTCATAAGGATCGATAACGATACATATCTTAACTGCAAATTTATATTAAATTCAGCTCCGCCCAAAGTTCCAAACTAGGAACCACTAACTGGTCTTTGTGGAACTTTCGTCCGGGCCATTTTCGATGACCCGTCCAGTGGATCCACAATAGTGACGGCTGGTGATCGGATGTCCGCCTTCTGAACTTGCCATTTCGAACGCGCCTGTAGGCCCTGAATTTACTTGAGCCATTTTAATATCGATGATTATCGAAGATTGATTAGTTCACCAGACCAAACATGCCTCTTGATTTTATTTTTCTTTATTAATAGACATTAACTCGAAACAATTATTCGAAAACAGTTAAACACTACATTGGGGCCGGTAACATAAAAATTAACTTAGGCGAATATATTTTAACATTAAAAATTATTAACTTGAAAGTTTGAACTGGATTCAAAATATACACAAATTGATTGCTTTAATTTATTTTTTTTCGCGTTGGGTTAAATAAACAAATTTTTTTTATGCTATGTTGCGATCATGATTATCCATGCCAAATAGCTTCCGTTTTGTATTTTCATTCTTAGAAATTGTGTATGGTGATAAAAGCAATGGAATAACATTTTTTGAATGAATTTCTGGAAGTCGAACATTGAAAATATTTGGGTTAGGATCTTCAGTTTTGTTGCTCCATATGGGATCAATCCAAAAGGGTAGTCTCTGTTGGTGAAAGAGTGAATTCAACTCAAAATATGTGCAACGCAAAAAAAAAGGTTTCTTACATCATCTGATGAGTTATCTGCTTTTGGCGGCCCATATAATGATCCCTTCAATTGTTTACTAGAGCTAACCAGGTCATAAAGGCCATTAGCCGCTTTACGTTTTTGATGCGCAATATTTGTATCAATGTGCTGCAAGGGCTGCTGGTAGGAACTTACTTTACGCCGACGCCAAAGTTTACCCGATGACTGTACATATGATGTGTCTGTCATTCCGGTATTCGGGACTATGGTAGTCAAATCACCTGCTCCCAAACTAGCGTCTAAATCTCTAGATGAGTTAAAAGAGCTGTTAAACAATTTAAGGGAAGAATTAAAAAAATTTTCTTTAAAATCCAAACTGTCGCCGAAACTGGAATTTCCTTGAGCTGATCCAAAGCTACTCATTAATGATAAATTGGAGCTTGAAAAAGACGACTTTTCTGAAGAAATAAGTGGCATGACATTGTTTGTCAAGTTATTCTCATTGGATTTACATTCGTCGATCTGCTTGTTAAAGAAAATATAGTGAGTATTGTTTAAAACTTATATTTGTTAGAAGGTTCTTATCAAAATACAACTACCTTCTTTGGATGTGTAAATTTAATGGAGCCAAACATGTCCCTATTAGTTAGCTGTGTACAAAGGCGCACTGTGTGAATAATGGACACATTATGAGGGCTTACTCTTATTATATACTAGTCTTACTAACACTCGCAATCAGCTTTTAATGAAACAATACATCTGTCATGAGAAGATCCAAAGTCCAGTGTGAAGAGATCTTCATATGCAGAAAGTAATTCGTATAAATTGGGGAATCCAAATTCAAAAGTAGTAGAAAGGCCACATTTTAAGCTGTTTTTTATTTCATTGAGGTGCATCTTTTGCCGATGCTCTAAAATGCGAACTATAGAGATCAAGAATTTCAATAGGCCTGTAAGCCGAACACACTCTTTGTCAGCGTATTTATAAATCTAAAAATAAAATGTTTTTTTTTTTGCATTTATCTGTAAAGTTGTTAATTTTTTACTTACCTCAATAGCATGACTCATGGATGCCAAAATTGAATTACTGAGATGATATCTATTTTGGTTATTAAACTCATTTAGAAAGTTAACCTTTGAAATATGTTTTGAGTTTTCATTGGACGACACATCAATTTGTGTATTTTCTCCAAATCCTGCAGTAGGTTCTAGAGCTAATAACTCTGATCGAATTAAATGCATACATGCGCGATAACAGAAATTACGAAATGATAAATCATCTTTGCGATATATTATCCATATGGCTTCATCTGAACTTTTCACTTCGACGTACGGTAACATTTCAACAGCCTCTATCATATCAGACGCTCCCAATGTGTGCGCTTGCATCTGATAACCAAACTTTTTTTTGTGTAACTTAAGAACATGATCAAGTTTCATGGAATTTCTTAAGTTTCCGGTAGCATTATTTATAAGGTCGCCGCATTGCTCCGAAAAAACCCTTCTAGCCACATATGGCGATAGACAAATTTTTTTTTCTTCATCGGACACTATTTCCATCTGAACCAAGCCATGAATAGCATCCATAAGATCAGTTAATTTAAGGAAGCCGTAGTCACTGAGACGACACTGATATGAAAAGTGGTAATGGTAAGACCGAACAAACTTTTGAAATAAAATTGAATACTGTAGTGAGTTTTGAAGAAGCTCGACTATTTCGCCCGCGAACACACTAGTTTTTACTAATTCATTGCTTGTTTGCTTTCGTTTCGGCATTGAGATAAGAATGTCCTTTCCATTCTGTACAGTGCTTATTACTACAATATTTGAATTTACTAAACCATCTAAGATATCCACAATGTTGCACACACCATAGTCTGAAATATCAAAGTTTTTATTTTGTGTTTGTGATAAAATTCCTGGTAATTGAGACAAAAGGACGGAGTTGTTTCCATGGGCACGTAAAACGCGCAAAAGATCTGATGTAAATCTGCGTATCTGGGTTCGGTGTGTAAGTGTGATTTGACGATTTTCACCGTCTCCCATAATTTGAACTACAGAGGATAGAGCTTCAAAAAGCTCAATCAACTTTGTGTAACCATAATCAGCTACTCTGCATTGCTTGCCGAAATGATTGTGATAAGCTGGAATAAAGCGATTGAACTTCATTGTAGACTTTGGTGACATCTTGACTAACTCTATGACTTCACGTGAAATTTGAAAAAGTGGGTCCGATATAGAGTTTTTGCAACAACTTCCTCCGGAGCGATCTCCGGTACTCACAGTACTTAAATTAGTACTTGTGTGTAAAGCTCTATCTTTGTTAAGTTCCAACCATCCAAGAATCTTTATTCCAAAATTATTGGCGTGAATCTGAATCCCTTGGACACAACAGATTAAATGCTCAAGATTTACCCCACTTTCATTTGGTATTATCTTTACATCTAGCTGTTCTTCGATGCAGTGAAGAAGAGTGGCAACCGGAATGTCACCAGTATGAAGCTTTAATAGTGGATAGACAAGGCTTTGTATTTCTGATATAGTCATGCTAACGTTAGGTAATGGTTCGATTTCCTGTTCAGCCCAACCCTTGTGCTGTTCTCTTTTAAAGTGCATTGTACAATAAGGAACACTGTGCTGCAGCTCCTCCATTAAAGGTGAGTTTTCTATAGTATTCAAAAGATCGGGCAGCAAACTGATAAACTTGTCCTCGTTATTATCAGAGGTGATCGTACAAACATCGGACATTTTGTACAAGTCCAGAACACTTATCGAAGTTTTAAAGCGCGACTGAAATAGCTCTCGAAACTTGTACATGGGGAGTGTATAGTATGGAACATCCTAATCAAAATAATTAAAATGTAAATAATTTTTTTAAAACCATTAAATTTTTACCTTTAAAAGACCGGCAACTTGGCACCGCAAAGTATTGACCTCGGTTAGCGAAGAGTCACGAGTGTAACTAACAAGCATGCGTTTATGACCAATCTTTTTTCGGTGCATATTGGAAACAACTTGCTTTGCAAACTGAAAAAAAAAATTGGGTTAACAAGAAAGAAAGGATTTAATAGAGTTATGCATCTCATTTCTCTCATTTTGTTTTCCATATAATTTTTTTCCCTAGCTAAAGCTCTATTTCTTATAGAATATACGTTTATATACAGAGAGGCGGACGTGTTGATGGCTGTTGATGCTGATCAAGAATATATATACTTTATGGGGTCGGAGGTGATTCCCTCTCAATGTACACCAATACAATATACTCTTGTACTCTACAAGTACCGGGTATAAAAATGCTTTTACTTACATAAAGGTCTGGCACCGTGACTTTGGCATACGCACTGCCTTCAAAGACAAGAGATACTACTGGAGTAATAGGTTTTAGCTGATTCAAAAGAAAGCTTCGTAGGCTCGACTCGTCCAGCGAGTAATCTAGATTAGTAATCTGCAACGTAACAGTATCTCTTACGTCTTTTACGGATGCAAAGCAGTGCGTTTCATTTTCTATTGCTTCGCCATCAAGATCAACTAAACTTTCCAATTTTGGTAAGCATGCTTTTTCTCCAAAGCTTAATACTTTATCGCTTTTAGTAAAGTCTTGCAATATGCAATTGTTAGTGGGGACTTCGGTAGCAGGCAAGCATTTTAATAGTCTGCTGCTTGAGATGGACACTAATAAAGGATCCACAGGCTGGTTTAGAGTACACATGTTGGTAGCCTGTTTGTGAATTGCAGTAATCGGTTGGTAGGCCTGTTGCTGCAGAGGTTTCTGATATTCGTTAATCATCGGACGATTTGATTCAGAACCAACTGCAGCTAAAGTCGCACAGGTGTAATTTTGATTGTAGGGCATATAAAGATTATTATAATAGCTAAAAGCCATTCCCTGAGATTGAGCATTCTTGCATATTTGAGACTCATTGGGAACGGAAGTTACTGTACTTTTCCCTCCATTAGTAGAAAATGTTCCTGGTAGCATGGAGTAGCTTGGCAACTTATTACTTTTAACAAATGAAATCCCTGATGGAATATCTGTCCCACGATATAAGCTTGTATTTTCGCTGATATAGCTCCGTCTAACAAATGTTGATTGATAAATCTGTGATTGTGAGTGACACGATGTAGATACTTTTTCATTTTTGTAGCACGGACAACTGGAAAAAAATGTGTTAGTTTTTTAAAAAAGTCCAGATAAATTCTTAAAAAGCAAGACTTGTACATGTATTTGTTCTACAAAAAGGTTTTACAAACATTAATGACGTAATCCTCTTTTACCTCTGTATATCGAGTGGTCTAGGTAGCCATTGCCGCGGTCATAAATACTTGGTGTCCTATGTGGCTTTCACAAAAAATTTAGAGGAATAATTTACACTCATGGGATACAATTTTTTTAATTCCTATAACTGAAAGGTCGAAAATGTCATATAGCGGTTACAGTGGCGGATTTAACAGGTGGGCGCTTTTAAAGGCGCGCTTGCCCACTGGGCCTCCCCGACGAAACGAAAGGCTCTCAGGGCCCCTCTTGCTGAAAGTTACACCTTCGATTTTTTTTTTTATTTTTTTGTTGAAAAATGTTTCGGTGAGTCTCTTGTGTACAGCACAAGTTCAATTTTCATTCAGGGGCCCCCTGTTATCAGAATAATTGCAATGCTTGATAACTATCGTAAATTGAATATAAAATCAAATAACTTTTGGGTGCAATCCTAGAATAGGGGCCCCCCAGCGTATTTTCGTCAATTTTTGGTATTTTCGGCCAAATTTGGGGTTGATCGAAAAGGGAAAGCTTGAGCTAACGACGTTTTACTAACTATTTGTACTATTTTTACTAAACCTGAAATGGTGGCATTCGGTCCTATCATTGCTGAAGTACAATTACAGAAAAAAGAAGTTGATCTTTTGATGGCCCGAAATTGTCTCAAAAATGTAATGAAGAACTTGCAAAACTTGCGTGAGGAGAGCAAGTATGATTCTTTCGTTTCGAAAGCTAAATGTCAATGGGAGAAGATGGGATGGAAGAACCCGGATTTTCCGATCATTAGACAACGACGAACGAAAAAAATGCCAGGCGAAAAAGCAGAAGACAGTTCTCTGGATATGGCAACGAAACATCGCATTGGGTATTTTGAAGTTCTGGACAGAATGTGCAGTGAATTACAAGAAAGGGCCAAAGGTTTCGATGAGATAAACTCACTTTTCGGATTTCTCAAACGTGAATTCTTCAAAAACGTTGAAGAAAAAGAATTCGAAAAAAATGTGTGCAATTTGATGGAGAAATATCCAACTTTTTTTACAACTGCCTTGAAGTATGAGTTAATTAGTTTTGCGGTTATATATTTCTCACAAGAACAAGATTTTACCAAGCAGAGTCTATTGCAATATTTGAACTTCATCGTTGAAAAAATTTGGATCAACAGTTTCCCGGAGTGCTGCAGTTTATTGCGTTTATTCTTGACCCTTCCCGTCAGCACTGCCAGTGCCGAATGAACAATGAGTTCATTGAAGAGAGTCAAAGATCGGCAACGTTCTACAATGAGTGCAGAAGCATTGGACGATTTCAGCATACTTTTCATTGAACAGCAAGTCGCCAATCAAATTGATCTGGATGCAACCATCGAAGTTTTCGTGGAGAAGAAAGAGAGGAGGATTCAAAAATATGTAAATTTTCTCGATGTAAAAAAGCATACAACTTTTATAATGCCCGATGAATAAATGAAAACATTTTTATATTCGTTGAATTCTTAAAATATATAGCTTTCACTTTCCATGGAACACCTGACGAAACATAATTTTCTATGGGGGGGAGGGGGGCCCTGAAAAAATTTTGCCCACTGGGCCTTGTTTCTTAATCCGCCACTGAGCGGTTATATGGCGATGAATCGATTGTATTGGCGATTTTTTTTGTATATTTTGTTTTTAATGCCTTTCCCGCCAACGGGGAAACAGATCCGAGATATTTAGGCGGAAAAAAATAACGAGGAGAATGGCTTAGCTGCTGTAAGAAATTGAGAATAGATGTTTTTAGATTTAAAGGAGAGGAAAGTGAGATGATGCGTTAGAGACCATTGTAGTTTAAACATAACACCCTAAGAGGATTGAGTTGTGTATATTTCGAACTACAATGGCTAAGGAATAGGGAAATAAAGCTTCTATTTCTTCTATAAGTAACCTTAAAATGTAAGCGTGTTAGATTCTGGCTATCTACATCACCATTAATAATGTTGTTTAGGAAAGCTACACCTGGCATTGTTCTAAGATTAGTAAAGGGTAATAAGTTTATTAGTAAGAATCTGCTAAGATACGTAGAATGATGAAGATTTGCATCCCAGTTAAGTCCTCTAAGAGAAATTAGTAAGAAATTATTTTGTACATCTGAGAAGATCCAAAGTCCAGTGTAAAGAGATATTCATATGCAGAAAGTAATTCGTATAAATTTGGGGATCCAAATTCAAAAGTAGTAGAAAGGCCATATTTTAAGCTAATTTTTATTTCAGGTGCATCTTTCGCCGATGCTCTAAAATGCGAACTATAGAGATCATGAATTTCAATAGGCCTGTAAGCCGAACACACTCTTTGTCAGCGTATTTATAAATCTAAAAATAAAATGTTTTTTTTTTTGCATTTATCTGTAAAGTTGTTAATTTTTTACTTACCTCAATAGCATGACTCATGGATGCCAAAATTGAATTACTGAGATGATATCTATTTTGGTTATTAAACTCATTTAGAAAGTTAACCTTTGAAATATGTTTTGAGTTTTCATTGGACGACACATCAATTTGTATATTTTCTCCAAATCCTGCAGTAGGTTCTAGAGCTAATAACTCTGATCGAATTAAATGCATACATGCGCGATAACAGAAATTACGAAATGATAAATCATCTTTGCGATATATTATCCATATGGCTTAATCTGAACTTTTCACTTCGACGTACGGTAACATTTCAACAGCCTCTATCATATCAGACGCTCCCAATGTGTGCGCTTGCATCTGATAACCAAACTTTTTTTTGTGTAACTTAAGAACATGATCAAGTTTCATGGAATTTCTTAAGTTTCCGGTAGCATTATTTATAAGGTCGCCGCATTGCTCCGAAAAAACCCTTCTAGCCACATATGGCGATAGACAAATTTTTTTTTCTTCATCGGACACTATTTCCATCTGAACCAAGCCATGAATAGCATCCATAAGATCAGTTAATTTAAGGAAGCCGTAGTCACTGAGACGACACTGATATGAAAAGTGGTAATGGTAAGACCGAACAAACTTTTGAAATAAAATTGAATACTGTAGTGAGTTTTGAAGAAGCTCGACTATTTCGCCCGCGAACACACTAGTTTTTACTAATTCATTGCTTGTTTGCTTTCGTTTTGGCATTGAGATAAGAATGTCCTTTCCATTCTGTACAGTGCTTATTACTACAATATTTGAATTTACTAAACCATCTAAGATATTCACAATGTTGCACACACCATAGTCTGAAATATCAAAGTTTTTATTTTGTGTTTATGATAAAATTCCTGGTATTTGAGACAAAAGAACGGAATTGTTTCAATGGGCGCGTAAAACGCGCGAAAGATCTGATGTAAATCTGCGTATCTGGGTTCGGTGCGTAAGTGTGATTTGACGATTTTCACCGTCTCCCATGATTTGAACTACAGAGAATAAAGCTTTAAAAAGCTCAATCAACTTTGTGTAACAATAATCAGCTACTCTGCATTGCTTGCCGAAATGATTGTGATAAGCTGGAATAAAGCGATTGAACTTCATTGTAGACTTTGGTGACATCTTGACTAACTCTATGACTTTACGTGAAATTTGAAAAAGTGGGTCCGATATAGAGTTTTTGCAACAACTTTCTTCGGAGCGATCTCCGGTACTCACAGTACTTAAATTAGTACTTGAGTGTAAAGCTCTATCTTTGTTAAGTTTCAATCCAAGAATCTTTATTCCAAAATTATTGGCGTGAATCTAAATCCTTTGGACACAACAGATTAAATGCTCAAGATTTACCCCACTTTCATTTGGTATTATCTTTACATCTAGCTGTTCTTCGATTCAGTTAAGAAGTGTGGCAACCGGAATGTCACCAGTATGAAGCTTTAATAATGGATGGACAAGGCTTTGTATTTCTAATATAGTCATGCTAACGTTAGGTAATGGTTCGATTTCCTGTTCAGCCCAACCCTTGTGCTGTTCTCTTTTAAAGTGCATTGTACAATAAGGAACACTGTGCTGCATCTTCTCCATTAAAGGTGAGTTTTCTGTAGTATTCATCAGATCGGGAAGCAAACTGATAAACTTGTCCTCGTTATTATCAGAACACTTGTCGAAGTTTTAAAGCGCGACTGAAATAGCTCTCGAAAATTGTACATGGGGAGTGTATAGTATGGAACATCCTAATCAAAATAATTAAAATGTAAATAATTTTTTTAATACCATTAAATTTTTACCTTTAAAAGACCGGCAACTTGGCACCGAAAAGTATTGACCTCGGTTAGCGAAGAGTCACGAGTGTAACTAACAAGCATGCGTTTATGACCAATCTTTTTTCGGTGCATATTGGAAACAACTTGCTTTGCAAACTGAAAAAAAAATTGGGTTAACAAGAATGAAAGGTTTTAATAGAGTTTTGCATCTCATTTCTCTTATTTTGTTTTCCATATAATTTGTTTCCCTAGCTATAGATCTATTTCTTATAGAATATACGTTTATATACAGACAGGCGGACGTGGCTATATCGGCTCGGTTGTTGATGCTGATCAAGAATATATATACTTTATGGGGTCGGAGGTGATTCCCTCTCAATGTACACCAATACAATATACTCTTGTACTCTAAAAGTACCGGGTATAAAAATACTTTAACTTACATAAAGATCTGACAACGTGACTTTGGAATACGCACTGCCTTCAAAGACAAGAGATACTACTGGAGTAAAAGGTTTTAGCTGATTCAAAAGAAAGCTTCGTAGGCTCGACTCGTCCAGCGAGTAATCTAGATTAGTAATATGCAACGTAACAGTATCTCTTACGTCTTTTACGGATGCAAAGCAGTGCGTTTCATTTTCTATTGCTTTGCCATGAAGATCAACTAAACTTTCGAATTTTGGTAAGCATGTTTTTTCTCCAAAGCTTAATACTTTATCGCTTTTAGTAAAGTCTTGCAATATGCAATTGTTAGTAAGGACTTCGGTAGCAGGCAAGCATTTTAATAGTCTGCTGCTGAGATGGACACTAATAAAGGATTCACAGGCTGGTTTAGAGTACACATGTTGGTAGCCTGTTTGTGAATTGCAGTAATCGGTTGGTAGGCCTGTTGCTGCAGAGGTTTCTGATATTCGTTAATCATCGGACGATTTGATTCAGAACCAACTGCAGCTAAAGTCGCACAGGTGTAATTTTGATTGTAGGGAATATAAAGGTTATTATAATAGCTAAATCCCATTCCCTGAGATTGAGCATTCTTGCATATTTGAGACTCATTGGGAACGGAAGTTACTGTACTTTTCCCTCCATTAGTAGAAAATGTTCCTGGTAGCATGGAGTAGCTTGGCAACTTATTACTTTTAACAAATGAAATCCCTGATGGAATATCTGTCCCACGATATAAGCTTGTATTTTCGCTGATATAGCTCCGTCTAACCAATGTTGATTGATAAATCTGTGATTGTGAGTGACACGATGTAGATACTTTTTCATTTTTGTAGCACGGACAACTGGAAAAAAATGTGTTAGTTTTTTAAAAAAGTCCAGATAAATTCTTAAAAAGCAAGACTTGTACATGTATTTGTTCTACAAAAAGGTTTTACAAACATTAATGACGTAATCCTCTTTTACCTCTGTATATCGAGTGGTCTAGATAGCCATTGCCGCGTTCATAAATACTTGGTGTCCTATGTGGCTTTTACAAAAAATGAAAAGAAAATTAATTTACACTCATGGGATTCCAATAACTGGAAGGTCGAAAATGTCATATAGCGGTTATATGACGATTAATCGCGGTTATGCACTGCAACTTAATAAATTATCGAATTCAAATAAACACCACCATTTTTTTTGTATATTTGGTTTTTATGTCTTTCCCGCCATCGGGGAAACAGATCCGAGATATTTAAGCCGAAAAAATAACGATGCGATAGAGACCATTGTAGTTTAAACATAACACCCTAAGAGGATTGAGTTGTGTATATTTCGAACTACAATGGCTAAGGAATAGGGAAATAAAGCTTCTAGTTCTTCTATAAGGAACGTTAAAATGTAAGCGTGTTAGATTCTGGCTATCTATATCACCATTAATAATGTTGTTTAGGAAAGCTACACCTGGCATTGTTCTAATATTAGTAGAGGGTACTAAGTTTATTAGTAAGAGTCTGCTAAGATACAAAAGAAGATGAAGATTTGCATCCTAGTTAAGTCCTCTAAGATAAATTAGTAAGAAATTATTTTCAACAGATTCTTTGCGTTCTATTGGGTTTTATTGGATTTTACAGGGGACTCCAGAAACATGAACCGTACATCAGTATTGGACGCACGGAAGAAATAAATAAACTTTTAGTAATACAGAGATCGTTAAATTCTTTTGCTCATCTTTTAATAAACAAAAGGAAACATTTAGCCTTATTAACAAGCATGGAAATATGGTCGTCAAATTTGAGTTTTAGGGACACCAGTATCATGGAACTGATTTAATTTTTCTAAGGTAATCCCATACTCGTAGCCTGGTCTCTCCTGGTTCTAGTCCTAACTAGAACGATATAAAGACATAAGTTTGCATTTTGATCCATTAAGTATTAAATCATTTGAACGGACACTCCAAGAGATTACTTTATAACACAGGAATGGACATTTTTAAATAAAACTCTATGCGTTCTGTATGCGTTCTCTACTTAACAATAGTGAGGGATTGACTGAATCGAATGATTTAGTAAAGTGTGGATAAGTTAACTCAGTTCTAAATCCTTTTCGGAAGCCATCAATGACAAAGACTTTCAACTCCAGTAACTTAGTGGTGGTCGAGCGACACCTAATGAAAGCATGCTGACATGGAGAAGAGCAAAGGTTTTGCAATTAAGAAGTGATTAATTTCTTAAATAACTTCGGAATTGTTGACAAATTAGAAATGCCTCTGTAGCAGTATCAAATTTTTTCCTTCTTATGTAAGGGTATTATAAAAGATTCCTTCCACTTACGGGAGAAAATAGAGGTATCCAAAGATAAGTTGAAATGTCTATGTAAAGCCCTGCCATTTAGCTTACAGCCTGATACTCCATCGGGCCTAGCGAATAAACGGGGTTAACCCCTAAAATAACAAATAATAAGCTATTCTCGGAAAATAAAATAAGAGATAAGAGAAAATAATATTTGCTGATTTAATGTTGTAGGCTAATCTGTCATTTTAGGCAAAAAGTAAGTTTTGAAAAAATTTGTGAAATTTGGCAATGGCCTAATTAGAGGTCACAGATAAATTTTCAAACATAAGAAGAGGAGGGAAAGATGCATGTTTACGTTTTTTGACAAAGCTTGATTGTTTACAATGTTATAAAACTGCTTCGGATCCTGAGAAAATTGAACTCGGCAGCGTCGAATATAATTCCTATAACATTGTAGATATCTTGACAAATCTATTTTACTGCATGCTTTTTTATATTTAAGTAAAAGCCTGCTTTAAGTATGCTTTAAGTTCGTGAGGCACCGTGTAAACCAATTTGGAGAATTTTTTGAAGCGGATGGATATTGTAAAATTTTCCTAAGGTAACCTTTATATCGGTGCATGGCAGAATATCGAAGCAATGAAATGTATCGATATCGTTTAAATTGAAACCTCAAGCGTGGGGGAATCCTTTCCTTTGGGAGGAATCTCTGGGGTTGAAAAGGGAAAATCTCTGGAAAGAGTGGTATCATAAGGAGCAAATACAAAACATTTGTCTAATTACCGACCTGACGAGTTTCTAAAATGCTTAATTTGGCCAAGGGACGTGTTAAACATGCCCGCGGTGAAGTCACCACTTTAGTTGAGGGATATTAAAGTCACCCAGAGCTACAAGGTGGTCACAATCGAACATAAGATTAAAAACCAATTGATGATGCTAGTATGTGGGAGGTTCACACGAAGGAGGTATATATGAACACGTCATATATAAAGATTTACCGGATAAAATGATTTTAATAAAAATAAATTCTAAATTACCAAACTCTTGTGATTTAACCTCTTCAGAAGCGAGTTGGGAGTCTACCGAAATGAGGACTTGGCTTGGACTACAAGGTAGTCACAATCGAATATAAGATTAAAAAAGAATTGATGATGCCAGTATGTATGCTGTTCAGACGAAGGAGGTATAAATGAACACATCATATATAAAGATTTACCGGATAAAATGATTTTAATGAAAATAAATTCTAAATTACCAAACTCTTGTGATTTAACCTCTTCTTGATCAAGAAGAATCCTCGTCAAGCTTGGACTTGGAATTTTGTTTTGGCTTTGATGTAAGCACGACAGCACGACAATTATCGCAACAATAATGGAGACCAGACCTACGGAATTCTATTCTGATCATAGTGGACCACCTCGGGCATCGCCTGCTTCCTGTGTTACCGAGGTGGTTGCATTTTCAAATGCAGAAGGTATACGTTACCACCTTCATGCACTCTTACCAAAAATTCGATCTCAACATTGGCCTGTCCCAGATTCGCATGAGCTTTGTAGTTATTAGTACCGCTTTTGGCAGAGCTTCTGCCCTTAAGCTGATCTGCTGCACTTTGTTTTGTGGCCACTAATTTGGGGTTGAATGTAATATTTATTAAAATTGAACTTCGGCTTTATTTGTCAGTCCCTACAATACATCGATAAACAATTCGAAAATAATGTAGCCGGTGTTCCAATGTGCAGGAATTCAATGTGACATCATAAGTAGTACTTCGGTTCAGTTTTCAAGCATGGTCAAAGATGTACAGATTTTCAATATTTTCTCGAAGGGGATGCAGGCCCTGCTCATTAACAGACAAGTTTGGAGACAAAAAAATCACCTCCGAAAACTAGGATTAGGATGGACTCCAGACCTTTCTTTTTGGCTGATCACCGCCGCCATAAACAAACAAACGGAAATGTGCGCTCTGTTACAACGGCATTACAACATATGCTCGCTCCGAGCAACAGATCGATCCTTTAATGTAGATACAACCTATGATCTATAACCTATGACCTATGAGGAGCTTCACTAATACGATCCGTCGCAACAAGAGATTTTACATTAGCTGACTATGAATCCGTGACCGCGGAATTTTAGAACCTTACGCGGTTGAGTTTAGGTGCGAACGAGATCTAAAACAAGACGGCAAGTGCATCTGGCCGATCGATTGAAAATGCGAGGGAGGGATTGAGGGTCGAAAGTACACCCATGCAATATGACATCACAAATGGTACCGATGTTAATTTTACCAAGCTTTGTCTAAGTTGCTCGAATTAAAGACGGGGCAGGACCCAAGCCATAAGCTCAGGAAGTTTCCCAAGGAAGTTTCAATGTACACCAGACAACAAATCAAGGAGTAATGGAAAAACATTGTGACATAAAAACCAACAAACA